ATTCTATGCAGATCATCAAAAGGAACTATGGGTCTATCTCGTTTAATTTTGCCTGTTACAAACAAATACACAAAGACATAATACCCTGACCACCTTGTGGTGTAGGGTACAAATACCGAATATAGCCGTTATATTGGTGTCTATACAACGTGGACCTACATGGACATTGTTTGTCATAAGTCATTACCATATTCAAATTCGAAACTTGAAATAAACTGTGAATAACGTAGCAAAAATCATCATAATGATTCTGCTATAGGCTGTAGCATTCATTACGAAATTGAAATACGCGTCTCAAACAATTTCGGTGGGTATTGTACCTAAACTCGTCAAAATACCGAATATAGGGAGGTACTGGTATGTGGGGCTTACACGAAGACATGGACCTGCATACACAATTTTCTGTCAGAGACTGTAGTTCCCATTATGAACTCTAAGTACGTAATTTGAAACAATTCCGATGAAAAATGCCGCTGAAATCATAAAAATATCGAATATAGGGAGGTACCGTTGTATGGGGGCTATATGAAAACGTGGACCTGCACAGACAATTTTCTGTCTTAGGCTATCCATTTCAAACTTCAAATACCAAATTTGAAACAATCCCCGTTAATAATGTCGCTAAAATCATCAAAATACCGAATATAGGTAGGTACCGTTATATGGGGACTATATGAAAACGTGGAACTACATGGCCCATTAACCTGCCTACTGGAAAAATAAACATGTGTGCAAAATTTTAGCCTTCTGTCTCAATTCGTTCGAAAGATAGCGTGATTACAACGGACAGACGGAGAGACAGACAGACGGACGGACATGGCTAAATCGACTTAGAATTTTACGCTGATCAAGAATATATATACTTTGTTGGATCTGACATGAGTATTTCAAGGAGTTACAAACGGAATGACAAAGTTAAGTTGGAGGGTATAAAAAGTAAAATTCCAGCTTCATTCGTTCACCCTAAACCAAACTGTTCCAAATTTGGTACCATTTAGTACAGGTAGCACACATTTTAAATATTAAAGTACAGTCATGCAGATAACAGAATCTTTTGAATAAAGTCACTCAATAAAGCTTTAAAGTTTGACAAATATTTCCACAAACTTTCATTTCCATTAAATACCATTCAACACTTCAATGCAAATAGAAAATACAAAGTCATTTAGAAATCGCTGAAGCATATTTCTAAAAACACTTCATAGAGATATTTGAGTCATTGCTATAAACGCTACATAAATACGTTAACGGTTGAAAAGATAAAAACACTTCGGATGGCTTTGTGTAGACACACAACCGAAACACAACTTTACCGTGCCTTAGCGGCAACATTTAATGGACCTGTTTCCTTTTCGTTCCTTTTGACTCCTTTTTTGGGGGATTTTTATTGAATATTATGGCGGACACTTGAAAGAACCTTCTGTTGCCCTTTCAATACTACGCACATTATCAATATATAATGTTTTATGGGGCACTACCCATGAATTCAAACGTCTTCATTTAGATACATAATAATCTCCAGAAATATTGAAGTATTTCATTAACTAAATTCCAGGTTAGATTTATCACAAAAGTAATGCCATGTAAAATAAATCAAATTTTCTTATGGCCATAGGCGCAACTACAATTGGTGTGTTTGAAAACTCAATATTTCTTAAAAAATATTAAAAACATTGTTTCGATAACCCAAAGGCCCAGTAAATTTTCAATGCAAATTTTCAAAATTTGTACTCAGAGTTTCTTTAAAAAGTTTTTGTTTAGTTTTTGAAAATTTTATTTGTTCAGTAAGAATGTATGTAAGATATATTCGATTTTTATACCCTACAACACTATGTGTTTAAATCCCGGCGAAATCATAAAGCCATGACGAGGTTACTTCTGATCGTTACATTGATGTTAACATCCAAGAAATCAGATATATAGCAAAATATGTGCGATATATATGTCTATCAAAGAAGATATGCTTGAAAGAAATCTTATATGTCGAGAACGGCTGAACTGATTTCGACAGTTGTCATAAATTCAGAATGGCCTCTTGGTAGGAAAGAAAAAGCGTCTAAAAAAATCGCATAAAAATATCTCTCTAAAGATGAAAATATTGATTTTGTAAAATTTTCTCATATTTTTCAATTTTGTCATATTTTTGGCATATTTTCATTTTGAATTAAACATTTGGTAATATTTCTACAGCTAACAAAACTAAGTAGTTAGGATACCAGGATATCATATACAGATCGCATTTATGGCCCTACTCTTTTTGGAGATGATTGCCATATATTTAGGGGTTGAAATGGACCAAAAAAACTGCAAAATTGTCAGCAGGTCGTAATTATCGCCCGATCCTTACGCACATTTGAATGGGGGTTACCGCACATTGCAAAAACCAAGCCATTTCTAATGGCCATCCAAAAATATTCAATGTGTGAAATTGTTTGCCAACTTTTTTGACAAAATACGAAAATGTCCATTCCAGAGACTCTTTGGAGAATTCACATATACAAGAAAGCCGCACTTCTGACTATTTCTTTGAAGAATATAGTCAAATGTCTGTATCTCATATAGATGCGTTTCAGTCAAAAACCAATAATAAATGTTAATCTTTTGCTACTTCTGAGAGATTATAGGTCTTTGGGAAATATTGGTTCCAGATCTAGGAAGACCATTTACGTGCAACATCTTCCAATAAATTGGAAATGAGCAAATTAGTTTAAGTTGTTATTTTTTCGAAAATTAGAGAACGAAACCTGATAGTTTTCTTTAAATATTTTTCTTAATATCTTGTGTCGAGTACTTCGCCTATATAAACTGTATGGTTTATTATAGAGTTGTAGGGTATTCAACGGTCGGCCCCGCTCGACTGTAGCCTTTGCTTACTTGTTTAAACAATCAATTGATATTAGCACAGGAACGAAATGATCGCACAGTTGTCCCACATTTATGGGAAGGAGTAAGTTGTGAAATTGGTCCGTTTAGGCATAGTCCCCATATAACAGTACACTCCGATTTAAAGAAATTTGAAGGGTTTAGGTACATTTTTAATTGAAATTAACTGATATTTGGCATCTGGTTTTCTTAATGGATACCTGATGTTCTCGCAATATAATGTTAATATGGATCTACAATTTGATATAATTCCCATAGAACCCTTACGCCGATTATACTTTTTTAAAGAATTTTCACCGTATATTTTCATTAGATTTTTTTTTACCATTCTTGTTTGGAATAAGCGAGCAAATTGATATGCCAAAATGTCTGGCTGGTGGAGTATCCAATTTGGTCCAAACTTAGTACATCAGAATATTATTATTAAACTTGAATCGAGTTCAGAGAGGGGCAATATCGATCCACTCCTTCTGATATGCCCCTACAACAGTCCGAATTTTTCAAAAAAAAAAAAAAAAAAAAAACAGTAAAGAAAGTCCTAAAGTCGGGCGTGGCCGATTTTATGATACCCCACACCACTTTGCTAATTTAGTTGAGCTCCACATAACAATTAAAAGTTTTTATGGGAGAATTCAATCATACAAGCTATGATTATAATTATAATTTAAAATTCAAAGTAATAAATATGCCGAAGCATTCGTATATTTTAAATGCGGACTTGTTTTGTCCATTTGGTGCAAAATTAATTTGAAATCAGATAAAAATATATATATGGGAGCTATATCCAAATCTGAACCCATCTCGATAAAATTTGGCAAATATATTTCTGAGCTGTATTTGATATATTTCCCTGAATATCGTTGTTACGGAGTGCATATTACGGCTGTGGGTAACAAATACAACAAATCGGATGAACAATATATATGAGAGCTATAACTATATCTGAACGGATCTTCACCAAATTTGGCATACTACCTTCTAGACTGTGGTCGTATGTGCCAAATTTGGGCAAATATTAGACGTTTGGTGCACAATAAAATGTGAATCGGACGAAGTTATATATGGGAGCTATAACCAAATCTGAACCGATCTCTATAAAATTTAGCAAAGGTATTTCTGAGCTGTATTTGATATATTTCCCTGAATATCGTTGTTACGGAGTGCATATTACGGCTGCGGAGGACAAAAGTAACAAATCGGATGAACAATATATATGGGAGCTATAGCTATATCTGAACCGATTTCGACCAACGGACGGACGGACGGACATGCATAAATCGACTCAGAATGTGATTGTATGCACATCATCAAAAGGAACAATGGGTCTATATCGTTTCCTTTTGCCTGTTACAAAGAAATACACAAAGATATAATACCCTGACCACCTTGTGGTGTAGGGTATAAAAATAAATAAATATTTTACTGCATTTTGCAAATCCTAATATTTACATTAGTGCTGGGTCAGATGCGAAAGTGGATAATATCGTTCCGCTTCATCAAAGGGCAAAAATTTTGAATAATTACAGATTGTTTTCAAATTACACACATCACAATATTTTTTATTAACCCAAGGCCTGGTGTGAAGATGGAATACAACGGCTCATCGCTTCTGGTACCTCCCTCACAAAGGTTTCCAATTTTGTATTTGAAGTTTGGATTCGGTAATACAGCCTATGACCAAACATTTTTTTTTTCAGGTCCACGCATTTGTATAGCCCCATAAAATGGAAGAATCATAGTGCTTTTAAACAATATTTTCAACTGGCCAAGAATGAAATGCATTTCAAGTTGGCAAACCGTCGGGTAGAGATATAAAGACAGGATAAAAAGTTTTGAAGGCATAAATAACTAGGATTGCAGAAATTGGAAGACGACTGGTGTAACAAAAGTGAACCTAGAACCCCCAACAAAAAGTGTTGTGGGGTATAAGAAATTTCTGCACCAACAAAGTCCTCCCACATTGCAAAGGGCCTATAAAAATATTGTAACTTTTTTACGTAATATCCCATATCCAATAAAAACCAGTAAGGAAAGCTCAAAAGTCGGGCGGGGCCGACTATATGATACCCTACACCACTATGCATATTTAGTAGAGCTCTCGTAAAAAGGTTTATACACTGAGGGAAAAATCCCGTTGCGAAATCAAGCACGTATGTTGTCATTTTCGCAACGACCCGTTGTTATATTTTTCAACAACGGCTGTTGGTGAATTGTGCACGAACGTGCTCAAATTGACACCGAGACGTGGTCAACTTTCGGTACCAACAACAGCCGTGCTTAATTTGTCCATTTGTAATATTGGTAATTGCAGCCGATTACACACGAGTAAAAAATGACAACGGTGGTGCATGATTCACACACGGTCGTTGTCAATATGACACCGGTCGTGTATGAATTATGCACCACCACCTGCATAATGATGCACCACCGTTGTTACTTTGTACACCGACGTGCATGAATCGTACACGATCGTTGCCATTTTAGCAACTACCGTGTATGAATCATGCACCACCGTTGTCATTTTTTTTACTCGTGTGCAATCGGCTGCATATTTACCATTTTTTCCGTGTTATTGAAAGAGAAAGGACGCATTGTGCAAAAAATTTATTGAAAATGAATAATAATTCGCAAGATCCTCAAAATATCATTGGTGAGTTGTTAGAAATCGATGGCAATATTGTTGTGGTTCGCGATACAAACCATTGCAGCAGTCAAGATGCGGAAAACAATGAGGACGATTATATGTTAAGGGAGTTCTTAAAAGGAATAAATATGGAGTCGCTTTTTGAACAATTAAAAGGTAAGTAAATAAAAATGAATTTTTCAGTTAATCAGTGTAATTAACAAAGAATTTTCTTTTTTGTTCTTTTAGCATCACATGTAACATTTCGCAGCTTGCAGTACTTGAAAAAAGAAGATTTAAAGGAAGCAGTGCCACCATTGGGACTGCGTGTTGAATTCAGAGAAAAGCTCTTTGCTTGGAAAAAACGAAAGGTACGTATTATTTGTTTTACAGAGTTGAACTCAGTATTAATATTGTCATAACAATAGCTCGGGATTGATGACGAAACTATGTCAGTTCCATCTAAAATAGGTGAATGGTGGAAACGCAACGAGACACCTGCAAGTACTCCTGGTACTCCCGACACTACAGGTTCGAACTGCTCAAAAGCCAAAGGAATTTTGTCAGAGGTAAGGTAAGAGTAATATTTGTGTAAGCATAGTTAATGTAGTTTTTTTATTTAATATAGGATCTAACGGAATTGTTAACACATACCTCGAAGGGGAAACTAGCGCTTGAATGTAGTAGCGTTAATAAGAAATTAAGTGACGAGCAAAGAGATGATATAATTAATATAATTATTGAAGATATTTTAACCAACAATGTTACTCTTTACACTCAAGACTATATGCGCATATTGGATGAAATTTGTTCCGTTTTTCCTCTTGAAAACGAAATGAGGGTAAGATTAACAATATAAACAACGTATCTGATTATGTAGTTTCTTAACTTATAATATGTCTTTATTTTTAGGATTATTATTACATTTCAAGAAAAGGAAAGAACAACGCAAGCGGAAAACTTTATGCCAAGTATAGAAACAAGAAGTCCAAAAGAATAAAGCTTTTGATTTCCGAGCCTAGCACAAGCAAAGCAGCAACTCACACATCTCCTAATTTTTGTAACAAAGATGTTCCCGAAATTGATGAATCAGTTGAAAATTCATTGAAAGCTTCCTTACTAAGAGAATGTAATGATTGGGGATCGATCTGCGAAAAATGGAAAAGATCTTTTAACATACGGCAAAGAGATATAAAAAATTTAAGTAGCCATACATTTCTCCTTGAATGGACGAAGTTGTCCGATGCAAGAGCTTCAGAATTGGTAAGTAGCCATGAGCTATTTATTTGTATATGGATACTAATGTTTCGTTTTAGGTCAACATTGATTTCGATATTATGTATCCACAGAAAGGCAATCTTCTACTTTCTAAATGGGACCAATTTAAGAAAAAAATTTACAATTATTATGGGAAAAATATTCATAACGAACATTGCAAACAACTCTTCGCAAATGTTTTGACGGCAAGCAGCATAGGTAAATTTTAATTCCTGATTTATCATAAACATTAAAAGTAATATTTATTTTATATTTCGGTTGCAGATGCTCAAGATTATATATACGCAATACTGTTGAATTCAGTTTTACCATCACCTGCTAGGTTTAAATGTGGAAACGGTAAATTACGAAAAAAAGTAACAATAGCTGATTCGCAGGAAAGTTTCGTACTGCGACTACCGACAATTAACGATTATAAAAGGCAAATTGATACAGTCACTGAAAAGTATTACAATGCTGGATTAACTATACAGCCATTTATAATTGTGGAGGGTTTGTCCGATTTCAATATAAAAGGTTTTTATGTTTTTTTTAACCACAATTTGTTAAAATTTCAATCGTTCCTCGAATGTTTAGATACATGTTTTAAAATTTTTCATGCACTTTCTTTAAAATATCCAAATGCCTGCCAAATTCCATGGATTTTTATCCAAAAATATTTTTATGAAATTAATACTGTATATGATATAAAATCAGTTAATTTGACTTCACTTATTAATTTCTGCAACAATAATTAAAGTACAATTCAAAATGTATATTTGCTTTCGTTGCCGTAAGCATTTTGATAAGGCAAATCTTTTAATAGCTCATTTGAAAACAGACCATTTAATGTCCACTAAATTTTTAAAAGTACAATGCGTTCAGGACAACTGTAAGCAAACATTTACAAAATTTACGTCATTCAGAATTCATTTAGAAAAACTTCACAAGAATCACACAAAAGCTCCACCAATGGTTAAAGCCATTAATGTGCCAGTTGAAATGTCATCATCAAAAGAAAATGATTATACAAACAGTGAAACTGTTATTAACAACAATACAATAGAAAAGGATTTAAATGTTTTGAAAAAGAAAACCTTATATCTGTCTTTACAATTACATGGTCAAAGCTATATGCCTAGAAATCATGTTATAGAAATACAACATTCTGTTTCAATTCTGCTTTCATCCATTTCATGTACAATTGAAAAATATATAACTGATCATCCAAATTATGAAGACTTAAGGTACTTACTAAACTTTTGTAAAAATCCTTTCGAAGAAACTAGAACGGAATATAGACTTTTAAAAATTTTAAAAGAACTAAACTTTTATGATGATCCAAAGGTTTATGTAATTAGCAATCAAGTCTCGGAAATTGTTATCAGCGGAAATCCCAGTTTAGGTCCAAAGTTATCCAATATTTATATAATGCCACTGAAATTCATGATAAGTGCCCTTTTTAAAATTCCAAATCTCTTAGATTTGACATTAGAAAACTCCAAAAAATTCCTAAATTCACCTGTTTTACAAAATTTTACAAACGGTGAGTTATATAAAACTAAATTATTAAAATATCAGTACAATTTAGTTATTCCCTATGTCCTTTACATGGATGATTTTCAAATTAATAATCCTCTTGGAACCCATACATTTTCCATATGTGGTTGTTATATTAGCTTTCCTTCAATGCCACAGCACTTGTTGTCAAAACTTGATTATATATTAACTGCTGCGTTTATACCATCAAAGGATTTAAAAGAACGTGGAAATGAAGTTTCATTTCACAATCTTGTAGAAGAGTTAAAAATTCTAGAAGAAGGGGTTGAAATTTGTGTTCAACAAAGTGTTCAGAAGGTGCATTTTATTTTAGGTGTAATTATTGGAGATAATTTAGCAGTTAATAGTATTTTAGGCTACGTGCAATCATTTAACTCTAAAAGATTTTGCCGGGTATGTAGAAGAAAAAAGTCCCAAATGCAATTCGACGCAATTCAGCATTTAGATAGTTTAAGAAACCAAGAGAATTACAACTCAAATGTATTGGAAAATAATTTTCAAGAAACAGGTATTAAAAACAAGTGTATCTTCGAATCTTTACCAAATTTTAACGTCACTGAAAATTTTTGTTTTGATATTATGCATGACATTTTCGAGGGCATATGTGTCTACGATATGTCTAATGTAATTCTCGGGCTGATTCAAGAAAATATTGTTACGTTAGATTGTATTAACAGCAGAAAATCTTTATTCCAATTTGGAGAAATTGAAGTGGGAAATAAATCTGGACCACTAGATTTATGTAGATTGAAAAACTATAACTTAAAAATGACAGCTAGTGAAACTATGTGTTTTACTAATTTTTTACCTTTAATGGTAGGCGATTTAATTCCTTTCTCCAACGATCACTGGAAAGTTTTTATAATATTATTACAAATAATCGATTTACTTTTAAGACCAAGTTATATAGAAGACGATTTAATAAAATTGGAAGAATTAATTAGAGATCACCATTCACTTTATATAACATTATACGGTTCGTTAAAACCGAAACACCACTTTCTTGTCCACTATCCCACAGCTATCCGAAAATGTGGTCCCCTTAAATATCTCTGGAGCATGAGATTCGAAGCTAAACACAAGGAAGCAAAAGCCTATTTAGGAAATACTACATCAAGAGTAAATCCCTGTCGTTCATTATCTATTAAGTCTGGATTGAAATTTTCCAATTTTTTATTAAAACACGAAGATAACTTAGAACCAAATGTTATCATTAATACGCATACCATCGAAGATTTGGCAAAAGAGGAATATTGTTACAAAAAAAGTAAGCCAGTTTTAAATTACCAAAATTGCAAAGTGTCTGATGACATTTTTTTTAAGGGAACTAGGTATAAAAAAAACTATTATTTAGCAACAAATAATGCCGCAATTGAACTTTTCAAAATTAAACATTTAATAATTGAAAATGAAAATGTTTACATTTTATGTAACCAAGTAAAAGTTAAAAACTTTGATTACCATTTACAATCGTATGAAGTTGGTTCTCTGAATGAGGATACAATTTTTTTAATACCAATTTTAGATTTTATTACTTACCCATTTCACTTATATCCTATGAATAATGGAAAAGTTTATTTCAGATTTAAGTTAATTTAATTTGTTTCTATACATTGAATATATGTAATTCGAATTGTTTTGTTAAATCAAATATGTATTTATATTGAATTTATGTAATTGGTTTCGTTCAATAAAATACTTTTCAAAAAATGTCGTTTCTTCTACTAAGGGTATAAAATGGAAAAGGAACGGATATCAAAAAATGACCACCATTGATTTCAATCTGACAACGGGCGTTGACAATCCGACAACGGAGCGTTGACAATCTGACAACGAAGCGTTGACGATCTGACAACGAAGCGTTGACAATCTGACAACGGGGCGTGCTCGAAATGACCACGTATGTGCTCATTTCATGCACATCTGTTGTTGAAATCGTTGCCAAAATCTCGGTGTCAAAATGACAACAGCGTGCTCATTTTGACACCAAACGTGGTTGATACACTATCATACACGGATGTGGTCATTTCATACACGGATGTTGTCATTTTTTCTCTGGGTGTACAGAGCATTTCAGAGCTCTATGAGATATTTGGTACAAATTCAAAATCTATCTAATTCTATCGTGCATTTTACGAACTATAGCTATATCTGAACCGATTTTCACCAAGTTTGATGTATTTGATTCTAGGCTGAATCCGGTCAGATTTGCCAAAACCCAGGACATTTGGGCTGATATTGGACATTTGGTGCGCAATCAACACGAAATTGGATGAAGATATATATAGGAGGTATATCCAAATCTGAACCGATATTTGTAAAACTGAAAAAGAAGATATTTCTTGGCTGCATCTGATACCAAATATTATTCTTGTATCGTACATTTTTCGAATTTGAGGGACTTAAAGTACAAATCGGATGAAAGGTATATATAGGAGCTATAGCTGTATCCGACCGATTTTCACTAAATTTGATGTACCAATATTAGCCATTTGCTGCACATTTAATCCGAAATCGGATGAAGATATATTTGGGAGCTATAGCTATATCTGAAACGACTTTTACTAAAATTGGTGTCCTTGCTTCTAGGCTGAATTTGGCCAGATATGCCAAAATTCATGCCATTTCGGTTGATATTGGCCATTTGTTGCACAATTAACTCGAAATCGAATGAAGATACATATGGGTGCTATATCCAAATCTGAACAGATTTTAAGAAAATTAAAAGCGACTACTTTTGGGCTTTATCTGATATCTGGTACCAAATATCATTCCTGTGAAGAGTATGCTATGCTATACTATATCCAAATCTGAACAGATTTTTATAAAATCAAAATCGACTATTTTTGGGCTTTATCTGATATCTGGTACCAAATATCATTCCTGTGAAGAGTATATTACGAATGTAAGGGACTTAAAGAGCAAATCGGATGAAACATATGTATGAAGCTAGAGCTATATCTGAACCGATTTTTACTAAAATGTGTGTACTTGCTTATAGGCTGGTTTCGGTCGGATTTGCCAAAATTCATGCCATTTGGGCTGATATTGGCCATTTGATGCACAATTAACACGAAATCGGATGAAGATATATATGGGAGGCATATCCAAATCGGAACAGATTTTAATAAAATTAATAAAATTAAAATCAACTATTTTTGGGCTTTATCTGATAACTGGTACCAAATATCATTTCTGTGGAGTGCATATTACGAATGTGAGGGTTTTAAAGACGAAATCGGATGAAACATATATATGGGAGCTATAGCTATATCTGAACCGATTTTTACTAAAATTGGTGTACTTGCTTCTAAGCTGGTTTCGGTCGGATTTGCCAAAATTGATGCTTTTACGGCCATTTGGTGGTCAATAACCCGAAATCGGATGAAGATATATATGGGAGCTATATCCAAATCTGAACCGATTTCGATAAAATTTAAAACAGCTATTCCTGTGCTCCATCTAATACCTGGTACCAAATATCACGGTTGTGGAGTGAACATTACGAATGTAAGGGACTAAAACACTAAATCGAATGAAACATATATATGGTTGCTATATCTATATCTGAACCGATTTTCACTAAATTTGATATACTTGCTTCTAGGCTGAATTTGGTCCGATGTACTAAAATTCAGTCCATTTGGACTTACATCGGCCATTTGGTGCACAATTAACCCGAAATCGGATGAAGATATATATGGGAGCTATATCCAAATCTGAACCGATTTCGATACAATTACAAACAGCAATTTCTGGGCTGTACCTTATATCTGGTACCAAATATCACGGTTGTGGAGTGAACATTACGAATGTAAGGGACTAAAACACTAAATCGGAAGAAACATATATATGCTTGCTATATCTATATCTGAACCGATTTTCACTAAATTTGATATACTTGCTTCTAGGCTGAATTTGGTGCGATGTACTAAAATTCAGTCCATTTGGGCTTATATCGGCCATTTGAAGCACAATTAACCCGAAATCGGATGAAGATATATATGGGAGCTATATCCAAATCTGAACCGATTTTCTCCAAATTTGTTGTATTTACTTTAAGGCTAATCTCGGTCACATGTGCCAAAATTCGGGCCATTTGGGCTGATATTGGCCATTTGGTGGTCAATTAACCCGAAATCGGATGAAGATATATATGGGAGCTATATCCAAATCTGAACCGATTTCGATAAAATTTAAAACAGCTATTTCTGTGCTCCATCTAATACCTGGTACCAAATATCACGGTTGTGGAGTGCATATTACGAATGTGAGAAGCTTAAACACCAAATCGGATGAAAGATATATATGGGAGCTATAGCTATATCTGAACCGATTTTCTCCAAATTTTATATACTTGCTTCTAGGCCGAACCCGGTTGGGTGTGCCAAAATTCAGGTAATTTGGACTGATAGTGGACATTTGGTGCTCATTTAACCCGAAATCGGATGAAGATATATATGGGAGCTATATCTAAATTTGATCCGATGCTCACCAATTTCAATAGGGTTCGTCCTTGGGCCAAAAAAATATTGTTTGGAAAATTTCATCTCAATCGGATAATAAATGCGACCTGCATTTTGTTCACAAGAATACATGGACAGACGGACGGACGGACGGACGGACGGAC